CTCTAAGGTTCTTGAGCAGCATGTTAGAAACCACTGAACAGAGATTTGGATGTCTATCATGCCTAATGGGTACGAGAGTCTGGTTTCTGGAAGAGTCTATATAGTAAGTAACATTTCTACAGACTTTATTACCAGATGAGATGCTTCCAAGTCAAGCAAGGTACACTATGATAGGCTGTGGCTGGCAGGGAATGCAATACTTACAGGACACTCATTAAGAGCATGGATTCTAGAGCCAGACCACCTAGACTGACACCCTGACTCTTCTACTTTTTTTAAAAAAATTTTTTTCATTCCATTTTAAAGGCAGAAATACAGAGAGATTTCCATCCACTGGTTCACTCCTCAAAAGCCTACAACAGCCAGAGCTGGGCCAGCTCAAAGCCTGGAGCCCAGTATTCATTCCAGGTCTCCCATGTGGGTAGCAGCGTCCCAAGTACTTGAGCCACCACCTGCTGACTCCCAGGGTGTGCATGTAGCAGAAGGCTGGACATGAAGCAGAGGCCAGGACTCAAGCCAGGACTTCCTAGTCAGTACCTTAACCGCTGTGCCAAACGCCTGCCCCTTCTTCTTTTCACTGTGTGACTTTATATAAATCTCTCAACTGCTCCTAAGTTTAGTTTCCTGCAAATTATAGATAATAACTATATATCCTTCATTAGGTTATACAAAAGACTAAAAGTAGTAATGATTGTGACATACTTAGCACAGCGGCAGGTACACATGAAGCAATACAAGAACTTAGTTTTTAACATCACTTTTGATACCAACAAAGGCTCAGGGAGTCTGTCATGGGAAGGGAGTTATAGAGATACTGACAACACTTGAAATTAGTGAGTAAAAAATGTTTTTGGAAAAATGCCAAAAACAATTCCAGCAACTGTAAAGTATTTTATTACTACATTAAGTGGACATGACATAGATAACTGAAGCCCAGAGACCACTACTTAATTTTTTTTTTTTTAATTTGACAGGTAGAGTTATAGACAGTAAGAGAGAGACAGAGAGAAAGGTCATCCTTCTGTTGGTTCACTTCCCAAATGCTCGCTACGGCCGGCGCTGCGCCAATCCGAAGCCAGGAGCCAGGTGCTCCCTCCTGGTCTCCCATGCAGATGCAGGGGCCCAAGCACTTGGGCCATCCTCCACTGCCCTCCTGGGCCACAGCAGAGAGCTGGACTGGAAGAGGAGCAACCGGGACTAGAACCTGGTTTCCATATGGGATGCTGGTGCTGCAGGCGGAGGATTAACGAAGTGAGCCACGGTGCCGGCCCCCACTGCTTAATTCCAGCTCACCTGACATGTTCAGCTTTCTCCCCTATTGCAGTAAGTCTTGTAGAAGATATGAGCAGGCAGCTCCACAGCTCTCCTTTTATCTTTTTGTAAGGTCTATTTATTTATTTATTTGGAAGGCATAAATACAGAGAGAAAACAGGAGAGAGAGAGAGAGAGAGAGAGAGAAATACCTTCCACCACTGATTCACTCCCAAATGGCCACAATGGCTGGGGCAAGGCCAGGCCAAAGCCAGGAGCCAGAAACTTCTTTCGGGTCTTCCATGTGGGTGCAGGGGCCCAAGCACTTGCACCATCTTCTGCTGCTTTCCCAGGTGATTTAGCAGGCAGCAGGACTGGAAGTGGAGCAGCCAGGACACAAACTGGTGTCCATATGGAATGCTGGCACTGAAGGCAGAGGCTTAACTTTCTATGCCACGCACTGGCCCCTATCCTTTCTTATTTATTTATTTATTTGACAGGTAGAGTTACAGAGGGAGAGAGAGAGAAAGAGAGAGAAAGGTCTTCCATCCAATGATTCACCCCCTAAATGGCCGCAATGGCCAGAGCTACACCGATCCAAAGCCAGGAGCCAGGTGCCTCTTCCTGGTCTCCCATGCAGGTGCAGGGCCCAAGGACCTGGGCCATCCTCCACTGCCCTCCCGGGCCACAGCAGAGAGCTGGACTGGAAGAAGAGCAACTGAGACTAGAACCTGGTGCCCATATGGGATGCCGGTGCTGTAGGCGGAGGATTAACCCAATGCACCACAGCATCAGCCCCTCCTTTCTTTGCTAATATCCCTCTACAATCAAGAAGATGTAGAGCAGGGAAAAATTCTAATGGTCTCAGGAGTAGCATCCTTACAAGCAGGGTAGGAGGTAGGAATTAATAACATCAGATGAAGGGATCTTCTGTCCATGGAGGAATTTGGGCTTGAATTCCCTAAGATAGGAAACCAGGGGTCCATGGCAACAGTAGCAAAGCAAGAGATGCTCAGGGTCTGCAAAGACATCTGAATGAGCAGCAGGAGGCAGCTCTGGTTTGGGACCAACGCTCTTGAGCCATTGGGAGCTGAAACGTTACAAGAGGCCATGCAGTATAATCAACAGACTCACACCATCAGGAAGGTGACAAGAAATAAAAAAAGCACCCTTAAATACACGTCTTGGACAGCCCAGAGATAAACTCAAGGAGTTCTATTCTAATCAAGGAATCCAACTTTCATCTGGCTACAAAATGCTACCTGGAAATAAACCAGTAAGGCAGAAAAGTAAAGAAACCAGTTGAGTACCTGCTTGTATTAGCTAAAACACCTCCCAAGTACTATTTAAACACAGCCTTTATTTTCTGTTGCAGTTATTTGACAAAGTCAAAGATCATTTTCAAGACAATGAAAAAATAAAAACAATATGAGAAATCCTCCAAAAACCAAATTATATGGTCCACTCTCTAGATTTAGCAAACATTTTTCTTCCCGCTGTGTTGTCCTTTATTAAAATCTAATACTAATGTGGGGTTAATGTGACAGCCCTGAGTACACAGACAAAGTTATAAAGGAAATAAGCTTTTATTACTTTTCCAAAGACAAAGCAATAACTTAGAATATCAGAATGATGTTAAACTTTTTACCACATTTTACCCTCAAATTTTCCCTTTTTCTTTCTTTGTATCTTCTTGCTTTGTACCACAGAGATATTTTCTTTAAAAAGTTAAAGCTCCACCTATGAATTTACTAGAGATTAGTAAGCAAGAATAACATAAAAGCAGGTGTTTAACCTGGAGGTCTGGATGCTGACATCCCAGGTTGGGGTGTCTGGGTTTGATTCCTGGATCTAGCTTCTGGCTCCAGCTTCCTGCTCATGCAGACCCAAAGAGGCAATGGTAACAGCTCAAGTGATGGAGTTCCTACCACCCTTCTGGGAGACCTGGATTGAGTTTCCATCTCCTAGCTTTAGCCTAGTTCCAGCCATTGGAGGCATTTGGAGAATGAATTAGCAAATGGGAGTTTGCTCCCCACCTCTTTCTCTTCCTTTTTCTTTTTCTCTCTCACTCTCTGTCCCTCTGTCTCTCAAATTAACAGAATTTTAAAAGATTACCTGTAGAAAAAGACAATGACATATCCTTTGTGACAATACCTTCTAGAGCTATGGAAAACTGTGTTTGAAATTCACTCCTAAATTTAACCTTATATTTCTAATTTTCAAGTATACTGAGTTAGCCATTATATTGTCTGTTACTTGAAATCTGTCCCTTTAATTTATTCCCCACAATTAATTACCACTAAATTATATTTTTTTTAACTTCCTGGATCTCACATCCATCATCTCTTTTCAGGCCTCCTCTTATTTCAGATGCTATCAATTGTCCCAGCTGTATCCTCCTGGCTATGGATTGAGACCTTTTCAAACTGCATGTCCAATTTCCCCACTTCTCTGTTTAAAAAATTTCCCATCCCTTAGGGCATAATGTTCTCACTCTTGAGTATGACCCATGCCTCACCTGTTTGCCTACCAATTCTCTCTTCCATCCCCCTACCTTCTCTATTCTCACCCACCCACAAACACCTGTAGCACTGACACCACCCACCACCACCTTCTACCTCCTACAACTCTAGAAAGCCAATGGTTCTCTAACCCGAACCTGCTCTGGTCATCACTGTACTTTCCACATTGTATGCTTCATGTACCCTTACTTCTTGTTTATTATGTTTAACAACTGGGTTAGATGGCTCTTACCACATACCAGGTCATATTCAATGAGTTCTATGAGAATTAATTCATTCAATCACAGTAACAAGCTCATGAGACATGTACTACTACTCTCATCATGCTACAGGTGAGGGATTCTAGACACACACCGGTTACGAGGGGTGCCCAAAGTCATACAAGCTAGTAAGTGTTTTGAGGGTAAGGAGGGAGACACACTCTAACTAGGCAGTTCAGCTCCAGGGTTTGTGCTCTTTCCCGCACGTTGCGCTGCCTTGCTCTGCACCTTCAATTCTTTGTACTCTGCTCTGCAAAGTCCTCTTCGACCCCCAACCTGAACCGCGAATCATCCCCCTTTTGTACCTCATGAAGAGTCGTATCACATGGTCATTATCACAATGCTTCTTCTTCTCATATTAGACCATCAGTTACTCAGAGGAAGACATCATAATTCATCATGGTATCCCCAGAACAGGTGCTCAATACTTGTTTGATGAATAACCCAATAATGGTGATAGATAGCCTTATTACATGTTCCATACTTGGTATAGAAAGGAAATCACAGAAAGTGGAACCTAAGAATTGTTTGGTTCTTTCAGCATTGCATATTTCCAACCAACATTATTTCTAAGCCATAAATTGCAGAGAAAACCTATCTGTCATTCCCTGCCACTGGCGAAGCCCTATCCACCATGGCTCTGATGCATAGACCAGCAATGTGCTCTAGACATCTTGAGACCCAAAATGCTTTGCATCTGCCCTGTCCAACAGGATATCCAATAGATACATGTGGATGTTGAGCACTCAGCTAAAGAGACTAAGGAGCTGAAACTTCAATTTAATTTAATTTTAATTATTTTAAATTTAAATAGCCACATCTAGCTAGTGGCTATTATATTGTACAGTGCATGTCTGGAAAATTTGCATCTCATAAAGTTTCAGAGAACACAGTGATGATGGGAAATACAAAATAGAAAGCAGGAAAGAAAATTAAAAGAGCATTTAGTGCCAGGGAATGAACCTACCCAATTTGCCTGGGGCTGAACAAGGAGTTGCATGAGGCTTTCAGTGCTAAAGATGTGACAGTCCTAGGCAAGCTGGGACAGCTGGTCATCCAGCGAGGTACCTAGAAGGAATTAAGAGTAGATTACACCCAAGAATGAAAGATGGTGACACAGGAAATTGATTGGAGGAAATGGATTGGAACAGGGAAGGGATGAAAACATAGGGTGGGTGAGAAATGAACAGTTGTCTTAGAAACTTTACACTCTTTCTATCTCCATGTCACTACAGATTCTAACATCCAGTTCTACCACACAGGTTTCAAGCAAATCTGTGTCACTTGATTTTATGTCTGATTTTTTTCAAATACATGTGCTTCATTTTACTCATCTGTCTCTTAGTTGGGGAAGTCAAGACGACAGCCTACTCAACTCTCTTTGATCTGCCATTTAAATTTCCATTCTCATCCCATAATCTGTTAATCTTTCCAGTAGCTCAGTGCAAGGCAGAATTAAATTCCCATATTGAATCCCAACATGAAAGGCATTTCTTTGTGAGCAGCTCAATATAATGTTCTTCTAAATGACATTTAAAATGTTCAGCTCTGTAATGGAATGATAAAGCAGGGCACCCGGTGTTAGTACACACCGGTAAAAGAACATTTTTTTTTATTAGTCAGAAACCAAAAAGATAGAACAAGATAATTAAAAAAAAAAAGAAAGTTTATCCCTGCTAGACTGCCACAAGAGTATTATGACTCAAAATATAATAGTCACTGAATTCCTGTAGGAATCTAACTTCTTAAAAAGACATCAGACATCAAAGTCTGAGTCATGCCACATTAACCACCAATGGCCAAAGAAAAGTTTGAATGCCACTGGAAAAGTTAAATAGTAGACTTTCCCTGCAACATTTGAACTCAGAGATGTAGGTATTGGGGTTGTCATATTGCCTTGTGTGCATTCTTTATAGGCTTCCAGACCCATCATTGCACCCCCCTCCTGTTGCTATGGTGACCCAAATAAATCCTCTCCTGAGATTCATTTCTCTCAGATGCTGATGCATCAGGTCAGGCAGGCAGGCTAACAAATAATATGCTGGCCCCAAACACTCTCTCCCAACAGCCACAAAGAAATATTCCTCCACACCTCATACCCCATTTCTGCAACTATAATTCCATTAGACAGAGCAAATTCACAATAACAAGGAAAAATTACATCAACCTGTGGTATTTCTTTTATTTGTCTAATCAACAAGTTGAATTCTCACACAAGGAAAAAGAGAAAGTGGAAAGTAAGAAATTCTCCTAACTTCTATTTCATTGGGCTTATATTCACAAATAAGACACAAATGATAGTTTTCAGTCAAATACACACAAAATCAAGGATTCTCATCTCCCCTCCCCTCCATATAGCACTATTAAACATGAAACTTAGCACTTAGAATTAGGGACTGAGGAGACTGTTTGGACAAAGCTGACACAGTACCAAAAAATCACAAAGAAAAGCATTTGGTTCCTAGAAAATAGGTACAATCGAAGAAAAGACCTCAAAGCCTCTTGTCATTAAAGATGCTGCAATTTAAAGCTTCCAGTATCTAGAACCTCTGTCCCACACATGTTAAATATGTAGTGCAAATAGGACAAATATTTCTCAAGAAAGAGCAACCTGACAAGCAACATTTCACAGTGACAGTATGGTACATGGGACAGAAAACAGATGCCAGCTACATTCCCTAAAAATCCAAGTCTACCCAAAGATGTACACTATTTGACCAGGGAAAATGCAAGACACCTAAACAGGAAGGGTGAACTTGGCATTTTACCATAGGGCTGCTGGTGACAACAGTCCACACATATTAACATTTACTCTTAGTAATGTGTCACCACAGCCCTATAAGAATTTTTACCTCCATTTTTCAGATGATGGAACTGAGGCACAAGGGAATAAATAACTTCCCAATAATATTGCAAAGCCATTTGGTTGTAGGGTTTGAATTCTAGCTTGCAATCTTTACGTTCCAATGCACTTAGACAAGCCCAACTCTGACTAGAGAATTTCAAATGTACCTACGTCATTCTCTCTCTCTCTCTCTCTCTCTCTCTCTCTCCCTCTCAACATCTCTTGCTTGCTGAGTCTTGCTCTCTACTTCTCCCAGTACCCTCCTAGATCACAGCACCAGCTATAATATAGGCTATGATAGCCCAGCTATCCTTCGGGGAACTTAGCACTAGTAAAACAAGACACTATTTCCCTACTGAATGTGTTGCCAAGGACAGACTTGAAACCCTCAGGAGGCGAGGGCCAAAGCCAGAGGAGGTTTTCACTGAGCCAAGGGAGCAGCCAGAGACCACCATCATTCTGGAGGCAAGATTTTGAAAGCGATGGTGAGATCAGGAAGACAAAAGGCAGCACATCTGGGCCTACAAAGACCTTTTTGTGCCACGATTACCCTCACCCCACCACTCCCCTAAGCAGGAAAAAGGAGCAACTCGGCAGCTGCTGGGAAAACATGCACCCAGAGACTACAGCTGGACTGCAAGGAGAGGACAGGTCAACCTTGGAGTTGAATAAACCCAAATGGTAAGCTTAAGCAAACAAATCACAAGTGCAATGAAGAGCGATTCTGAGAGGCAGAGAATGAGTGGGAGAGAGGAAGCCAACGTACAATGAGTCACTTTGGTGCCCACCCTTCACAAGCTCTGGGCCCCTTTATGAACCCTGCCAGGGTCCTGCAACCCTCCCTCGCTTATTCCATATCCTTACAGCTTTTCTCTCCACTACAAAATGGAGCAGAGTTTGTTATTTTGAGGGCCAGCATGGGTATTTTTCAGTGAGTTTTTTTTGAATACTGTTAACCTTTTCTTTTAATAAACCAGTGTTTCATAATGATTTCAAGAACATATATGAGGCTTGCAATTCTTGGGTCCTGAAATGCCATTTGGATTTCCTAATGGCCGTCAGTGCAGATGTAACTGGGGAGAAGAAATTTGCCTTAAAGGCTGCTAACTTTTGTAAGATAATGTATCTACTCCATTTATCAAGGGATACCTGTTTTAGACATCAAACGGGTTACAACCATGCATATTCTTCCTCAAAGGACAGCTGGGAATTTTATAAGCAGAGTCCTACCATGACTCACTTGTTAACATTTGCTGCCTGGGGCACAGAGTGTCTCATCAACAAGACTTCGGGTTTTGGTAACTGCCTTGTAAGTGGCTTCAGCTCTTAACCTGGATTTCATATTTTCCTCCTTCAATTCAAGTGATTTAATTTCTCAAGAATTAAATTATTTTTTTAGAGTTCTCTAAATTAAATGAGGAGTAAATAAAAAGGCCTTAGACAAAAATTGAGTAATTTTATTAGGAATATGATAAATGTGATAGGTTGCAGTAGCCTGAAAATTCCATTATACGCAATTAAGGAGCTACATTAATATAATTGTAGACTTCCTAGCATTTTAGCCGAGCACACACAGTATTTACAGATAATTGCATAGTAAGGGGGAAAATGCAAGCTGTGAGTCTGGCATGCACGTGACTAACGTTGTCAAATTTAAACCTGGTTGGGTTTCTCCTTGAGTTATTAACTTTACAAAGCTTAATTTTTATCTTCATGAGATGGGAAAATGCACAGGCATGAAAATGAAAAGCTTCCTGCAAAAAATCATACTAAGTGCAATGAAATTATGGATACCACTGAAATACAGTGATAGTCATTTAGACCACATTAATTCCAGTTTTGTAACTCTTTGGACAGACTTTACCAACAAAGGATTTGAAAGCAAATTAGGGGCTAGCATTGTGGTACAGTGAGTTAAGCCACTGGCTACAATGCTCAAATTGATACTAAAAAACTGTTTCAAGTACCAGCGTCCCTGCTTTCCAATTCAGCTCCCTGTTAATGCACCAGAGAAAGCAGTAGAAGATGGCTCAAGTGCCTGGGCACCTGCCACCAACATGGGTGTTCCAGATGGAGTTCCAGCCTCCTCGCTTCAGCCTGGTCCAGCCCTGGCCATTGCTGCAATTTGGAGAGTGAACAAGCAGACAGAAGACTCCTCTCTTTCTCTCTCCACCCCTCCCTCCCTCCCTCCCTGCCTGCTTGCCTGCCTGCCTACCTGCCTGCCTTCCTTCCTTCCTTCCTGTCACTCTGCCTTTCAAATAAATAAAAATAAATCTTTAATGAAAAAGAAAGGAAGAAGACTAATATCATAAACAGTATTGCAGTGAGGATGAGCAACTTACTTAGACATTTATGAGTCCCCACATATATGTTTAACATTATTCGCATGAAAATGATGCTAAAATAACAAAAAAGACAATGAGAAACAGAATGATATATTAGAAAAAGTGCTCAGCTCAGCTGGTGGAAGCCTGAATTCATCCTCCACTCTGTGGACAGTAAGTTAGTTATACAACCTTAGAGAAAAAAAAGTAAACTCTCTGTATTTCAATTTCCTCAATTACAAAACTCAATGGTTGACTGATATAAATCATCAAAATGTCTTCAGTTGCGAGATCTATCAAAAAGAATGTTATCTAATCATAGAAGCAGGCTCTGCGAAACAAATATTTGTATATGTTGGGTTGAATTATTAATCTGAATTTGAAGGCAATCCCACATTTGTTTATTTTTAATGAATTTGGTTTTTATAGTAGTTTCAGTCTCACAGAAAAAGTGAGCAAAATTTACAAAGACTTCCCACAGGCCTCCCACCACACACACACATCCATAGTCTCCCCCATTAACAACACCCCCACCAGAGTAATATATTTGTTGCAAGTGATGAGCTCACATTGACAATCATTACTACTTACATTACATACTTTATATTAGGGTTCATTTTTGATGCTGTACATCGTATCAATTTGGGGCAACTATATAATGATAAATGGCATGTATCCTTCAGTATAGTGTCATATATTTTCCTTGTCCTGATAAACCCTCTATGCTTTACCTATTCAACCACTCTCCCTCTCCTAATCCCTAGCAACCATTCATCTTTTCCATAATTTGTCTTTTTTTTTTCTTTTTACAGATTTATTTATTTAAATGAAAAGCAAAATGAGAGAGAGAGAGAGAGAGAGAGAAAGAAATCTTTCATCCACTGGTTCACTCACCAAAG